TTGCAATTAATACATATTATCAATATTAATAAAGCATTAGTGTCAGCAATAATATGTCGATTCAAAATGAATAAAGTGTCTTTTCTACAATATTTTTGCTATAATTTTGATCAGTTTCTTACGTCAATGAACAAATTACCAACATTTATTAAACATCATTGTCGTCAATGATAGTATGACTATTTTTTCCGATTCTTCTAGACCAGGGGTTTCGAACCTTTATACACCAACGTGCCATTTTTTCTAAAGAATTGTTCGATGAGATCATAGACGTGCCGTCAAATAATTTTGACTTCGTGATTATTGGGAAAATAATAATACTAAATACTATCAACTCAAAACTCTTTATTTACATTGAAAAAAAAAAACATTTTGCATTGTCTCAGTTATACGCGTTATTCAACATAAAGTAACATCAGTGTGACTTCTGTTGTTGCAGATTAGATGACCAATAACTTATATTAGGTTGTAAGACGTTAGTTTAAGCAGGACTGTTAATTTTTTTGCTAGTTATTTATTGTTAGCTTGTTTTTTATGGTTATTAATTGTTTTTTAGCATTAATTGTTAATTTTTTATTAATAACTGTTTATTATTTTGTGTATTTTTTGTAAATTTTACTTTAATTGTTACATATGCTTCATAGTGTAATACCATTTGTGTAATAACAAATATGATCGGTGGCGTGCCCGAAATATTGTGTCGGGTGCCATAAATGGCACGCGTGCCATTGGTTCGCCATCCCTGTTCTAGACTAATACCTTTACTCCGTTTCTTTCGCTTTCTAGTACATAGCTTATTTCTTTTATTTTAATATGCATATATTACCTTAATTAATTAATGCTCATGATAAGTTGATTTTTTTATGTTTCTCCTAAACGAATTAGTACCACTTTCCCATTAATTTTTGCTTCTGAATACATAAATATTACTTTTCTACCGTTGGTTTTAATAAAGTTATTTTTTAGAAACGCGTTTAAAAGTGTTAATATTAATAGAATAAAATGGATTGGTATCATATAAAGCAGTGGCGTACGCAGAATTTTTTCAAGGGGGGTGTTCATAATATTCTGAAACTACTAAANATATCGATTAATTATGTATAAAATGCATAATTTTAGTTTTCCTTAAAATAATGCATTTTGCTGTCGTCTGTAATGTTTTAAACAGATTTGTTCACATGGCATTTTTAAAAAAAATTTTAGACTTGCTATTGGTACATAGGTTGCTATTTATACAGTCAAACCCCGCTATAGTGAACACGGTTTATAATGAACCCCCGGATATAGTGAACGAATTGTTCGGTCCCGTGCCTTGCTATGCAAGTATAATGTTATTGTTAGTGGATGTAGTGAACCAAAAAAGTGAAGAAGTTGGATATAATGAACTTTTTTCTGCCTGCGACTGATTTTTGTCTTCATTTTTTTAATAATAATTGTGAAATTTTTACTTCAAAATAAATGCATATACAGATTTTTAAAACCAGGGGAATGAAGCAATAAGCATTTCTTGTTAACTTTTTCTATCTCAAGTTCCCATCCCTAAACAAGCCAGGCAGGTTAGACAGGTTTAAAAAGCGAAATAACAGAAATTCAGGAAAAAATATCTGAGAGTCGGGAAGTGTTTCCATATCTGATGTTGAGGATTGCTCATCAGCTAAAGATTACTAATTTTTTAGTGTGCACAAGACGAAGAGTGATGAAAAATAACACATTTTTTGCTACTATATAATATTTTTCAGTCATTTATTTGAATAATGTGTAATAAAAGGGTGGAGTTTGGGAACCATTAGTTAAATAGCCTGCGTAACGGATATAGTGAACTGAAATTTCGGTTCCTTGAAGGTTCACTATAGCAGGGTTTGGCTGTATATATACAGTACAGAACCCGTTATCCGGAAAACCAAAAAACCGGAATGAAATTCGATAAATTTTCCGGCCATTTTCAAAAAAAATTTTTTTTTCCTCTTAAGATTTTAGCATTTTCTTTCTATTTTGAAAGATGTTTACCTTACCATCATTTTGGAAATAATCTTTAGTGTATTATTTCATCGGTTNCCATATCTGATGTTGAGGATTGCTCATCAGCTAAAGATTGCTAATTTTTTAGTGTGCACAAGACGAAGAGTGATGAAAAATAACACATTTTTTGCTACTATATAATATTTTTCAGTCATTTATTTGAATAATGTGTAATAAAAGGGTGGAGTTTGGGAACAATTAGTTAAATAGCCTGCTTAACGGATATAGTGAGCTGAAATTTCGGTTCCTTGAAGGCTCACTATAGCAGGGTTTGGCTGTATATATATATATTAGTATTCAGGTGTAGGAAAAAATATTATGTTGCAGGTGAATTATTTAATATTCCTGTTTAATTGATTGAAAATGTACACTTTTACTTTTGTTTTAGTATTGTGTTTTCGTATTCACTTCAATCTAGATTAAAGTGACTATTTCCCTGTTATTACACATCAGAATTTGAAAATCGAACATTTCCTAGAATAATTTTAAATGCTAGTTCATTTGCGTTTTAATTTGTACTGTTTCTAACGGGATATTTGAAATGTATTTAATTCAAAATAGTATGCAAACATGAAATATAATTTCAAGGTGTGCACGGTGATTCTTGCACTTAACGTGCAAGAATCTCAATTTCAAACAAGAAAGATATTCTCAAATTTTCCACCATCTGATATCAAACCGAAAAACCTCTTGATCTTTTTATAATGACTAATATAATCAAGAAAAGAATTCTTTGTCAGAAACTGGTTATTTTATAATGATCACGTGAAGTCTTTGAAGATTATTTTGCATTTTGTTCCTATATAGTGCTTAAAAATAATTTTTGAGTGCTTAAGAAGTACTTAAGAGGTGCTTAATTTTCGTTGAAAGATTTTTCTACTCACCCTGTTTAAGAAGTGTGCTCTCGCTTATAATATTAAGTGTTAAGTACGAAATGATAAGCGTACTTTTATAATTACATTCGAGTGTATACAGAAAGATGTTGCGTGTGATCGAGACTGAGTAGCAACAGCCCGAGGTGGTAAATAATGACGCAGTCACAAGTAGCCAGACAACTCTTCAATGCGGACCATCCATCGAAGCACGCGTGTTCAAATCTTAGTAGGCGTTTCTGCCAAGGTAGGGGTGTTCACATCACGGCCGGGTCACCAATGTGAGGATATAGCAGTAATTGACAAAGGCAACCTTCATCTATGAAGAAGTACCCCACCATAGAATCACGTTAACATGTCTTATATACTAATGAATTAGAATTACATATATGTAGTGATAGATACACTACAATATTTATTTTTTTGAGCTAAGATTTATAATTAAATCACCGACTAATAAGGAATATCACACATTTATGGTAACTAATTTACGAAAAAACTTTGTTCTAACCATAATCGTGATATTGGATTTTAAAAGTGTGTGAATATCGCTGGTCAGGGCTCGAAAAACCGCCGTCTAGGAGGTCAGAAATTCCCCGCGGACAACGAATTTCTCGAATCCGACGTCCGCGCGGACGGCCATTTTCCCGTTAATGTTCGTGATACATTTTCAATTTTTGTTATCTTACAAGAGTCTAGCGCCTCATTTCTAAAATGACCCTCCAATCTAGAAATACAGCAACATACTGCGAAAGGTGGAATTGATGTTTCCCTTGTCTGGGAGTACTGCAGCGATTGAAAGGGATTTTTCAGCAATGAACTTACAAAAAAACACATTACGTACTGGTCTTAAACAAGAAGCGTTAAACTCAATTATGAACATCTACTTAAATGGAAAACCCCTTTCAGATTTATGTGCAGAAACCTCTGTAAATCATTGTCAGGCAAACGTCATATTTGATTCATTTAGAAAACGCAGTACCCACGGATAAATTGACATTCCAGACAACTTGACCTTTATCATATGTTAAATTATTTCATAAAAGAAATAAATTATTTCATAAAAGAAATAAATTATTTCATAAAAGAAATATTAGGTATTTCTTTTAAGAAATATTAGGTATTTCTTTTATGAATTTTTCTTTTATGTAACCTACTATTTCTTTTATTATTGTATAATGTAATCCTAGTAACTACTAATTCATTGTGCAATTTACATAAATGTTTGTAAAATAAATAAGAGAAAATTATATTTTTATTTATTTATAAGCTACAGGTTAGTTTCAAAGGAGGACGGGTACATTGTTCTCGGGGACGGTTAAAATTTCTGAGCTTTTTCGATACCTGATGCTGGTGAAGCAACTACTCCGCCAAAGCTGAGTTCATCCTGCCTCTGAATCGTTTTTTTTATTATCAGTTTTTAGATTAACAAGGCTAGATAAAATTTGGTACCAGTTTGTTTCAAATTAAGGTTTAGAAAATTTTATTCTATGAATATGAGCCTAGATACATGAATATTTATTTTATCTTTTCAAACAAAATTATATTTGATAAAAGAAACATTAAAAATCGTCCGTGAAAACAAATGTTACGCACAAAACTCATTAAAATCTTCCTTTATAATCAAATAAATATACTCCCAAAAATTTTCGAAGTTATGCCTTTATAAACATACTAAAAACATAGAGATTAAAAGAAAATACAATATGGAGGAACATATAAACTTTAGAGCTCATTTACTCAAATTAACTAAAGTGTCACTTAGTTAGTTCTACTAAGCTCCTTAGATATTTTATCTATACACTAGTGCCTTACATAAATCTGGTGGTGCACTTTTTCTTTTCTCGCGCTCTGAGGGGACACATAATTTAGTTTTTACATCCCTATACAATGTTTGGATATTTTGACACAATATAGCACGAAATAACTGAAATTTCACAATATTTAGCATCCTTTTTTCAGTAGTAAATATTTTAACACAAAATATATTTTAGAGAAATGGATAAAAATATTACTTGAAATTTTCCTATGCAAGTTAAAATGATTTTTACTTAAATTTAGTGATTATGTCATTTCTATCAAGTAAAAACCAGCAGAGAAACAGAGAAATTCGAAAATGAATAAAACTTTATTTGAGATAATAACATTTAAAACATAGAAGAATCAACAAAAACAAGCAAAATGTACACTAAAATGCTCAATTTCGCCATTTCACAGTCTGCAAAGAAACAAACAAATGATATTAATACTATATTTTGCAGATTGTAAATATTTTCAAACAGCATTAGAAAATAAATTATGACATAGTTACACTGTGCAATAGAAAAATCAAAGTAAGAAACAAAAAAATTCAAAATTAAGTTTTTTATACATTGGCCTGTTTTGAAAGCAAACTACATAATGCAAAAAAAATATATGTATATATATATCCTCAAGTTTCTTTATTAGTTTCCTGAAATTATATTTTTCATAACCTTTATTGAACAGCCAACTAAATTTTTGGGTTTACGACTACAAATGTTCAACTCCATAGCCTTGTAATTTTGAACCCAAACCAGAAGACAAGGGAACTCCTGGATCAAGTATTGGGAGACATTTTGCCTTCACGGAGAACTTTTTTGATGAACTAATCCACATTTGCATTACAAGGAGAAGAAAACCATGAAAAACTCCCAAGGTTAGCTTGACAGCAAGGGGACTCTAGCCCATGATCTGTCTACCACTGTGGATATTTTACACGAGTACTGTGATTGGTGCGAAATTTGTATCAATCAGCTATTGCTGGGATTCGAACCTGGTTCACCTCATTGGAAGGCGAACGCTCTACCCCCTGAGCCATCACGGCTCCCAGATGACTTTTAACCCTCTTTTCGATAGTTATTGCTACTGATTTCCATGTGATTTTTAAAATTTCGTCATTTTTAGCCAGTATTATTACCAATCGCTCATTTAGACTACCACTTTCTGACGGGGTTCATTTGTGCCGTTAATCCCTATTGTATACCCATAATATTTTCCAATCGCTTTTTACAGATTTAAATGGTTTCTACTTTTTTGATATTTTTTTAATTACATACAACATGGGATCCATCCCCGCCAGCCTAAGATTCCCCGTGTAGTAAATGGTGACTGATTTATGTTAAATCTGTGGAGCTGCAAAGTCCTCCATGTTCCCATAACAAATCAATACCTCTGGGGGTACTGATCCAGGAGTTTCCTCGTCTTTTATATTCGTCCAAAATTAAAAGGCAACGGAGTTGTACATCAGTAGTCGCAAAGCCAAAAAAATTGGGTCGGCTTTTCAATGACGGATATAAAATAAAAATAAAATTACATACGACATAGTTTTGTATTTGAAATGCTTGAACTACACAGTATAGTAATGACTATTTGTTTACGATTCATTCGAAAATCACTTTTTGTCACACTTGATTCCATAGTAATTTTACATTAACGATAATTTATTTTTTGGAAACTTCTATTTGTTTTATCTAATTTTGTTATATTAAGCACGATATTATTAACAATTTGCATATGACCAATATCATGATATTACTTTTGTTGGACTTAGTCTTTTTTGCACAGATTCTAAAGTAAATCCGTGTTATTCGTGGATTTTTTGCCAACCTTTGCATTTCTAAAACTAATACCTTTAATAAGTTATATTATAACAACAGTTGGAATACACAAGTTTTAGGACTCAGGATTTCCATATTTCTATGAATTCTTAACCTCTTTTATCCATCGATCAATATGCACATTCAAAATTTTTTTCTCAATTGTTAAAAAAAATATTTAAAAACAAGAAGAGTTATGAACAATTAAGGCTTTTAATTAGTAAAGATGTAACGCATACATCGAGTAAAAGCAAAGATGTAATTTGATACATTAGAAAGAAAATTAAAAAAAAAGATTTTAGTTCAGATGTATTTAAAGTTAAATTAAAATTTTGTTGAAATAGATATGCTGGCGTGCTTTTTATTTTTCATTTCTACGTTGGAGAATTACATGTGCCAAAGGACACAACATAATTTATTTTTTGTCTTCCCTCAACTATTCTTGGTGTATTTGACGTGTTTATAAAGCTTATGCGATAATCACTGAACTAGAGAATTTCGCTCTTTTAATAAATAACTTCTTTATGCACTCTATTGGATGGTGTGAAAATGCACCTAAATAAACACTTAATCGACATTTAGGTGAAAATGAAAATTGGATCACGAAAACTGATTTTTATACAGAAATTTGGTGCAAAATTGGGCCAAAGTCACACAATGCGCAATGAATAATGCATAAGTTTAGTAGCGATTTTTTTAGAGCAGGCTGGAGCAAAATGTCATTTGGAGCTTCATTTTAAAGCAATTTAAGCAGCTGTTCCAACAGTGTTAAGTAAAAAAAACTAGCTGAATTGATCTAACAATGTTTAGATCAATTCATAATGTTTAGAAACATTTCAGCAGGCTATGATAAACACTGACATTTTTTTTTCTTTTTAAAATAGTTGGCGAGTCAAGTAAAAATTTTAAAATAATAGTTACCTTATTATTTAGAATATCAGCAGCTGAACAGAAATCAACAGAATGAGGAGGTAGAATGCTTTTATATTGTAAAAGTCCTAACCTGTCTCTGTTTGTTTTTAGAATCTGTGAACATAAATGAATTATCAATTTTTTTCAACTCATTCAAAAATCATTAAATGATTAGATCAAAATTTATAGGAGAAAAATTATTTTGAAAAACTCATTAGGTGAATCTATGCAGCACCAGAGGAAAAGAGCATAAATTCATTTAAAAAAAAATCAAAAATTATTAATTTAAAAATATAAATAATAACAATAATAATGTTTTGGATCTTTTCCACATATACTGTTCTATATGAAAAAGAAAATTTGCGATAGCAAATTTTCTTTTCATAAGAACGATAAAAAGAACGATAGCAAATAAAAAAAGTATGAATTTAATTCTTAAAATTTAATGTAATTTGTTCATTTTGTGAGACTTATTCATTTAATTTTTGTTTAGAAATAAGAAATCACTTTTATGTTTTTGTTTACAGGTAAATTGGATAAGAATAAAATTAATTTTACCATTTGATTTTTTCTTTTTTTTCTTCAAACAAATTATAGATTATTAGCTCTTACACGAGTACTTCATATATACATACTTATTTTCACCTAAGAGTGATTGAGTAGGTTGTGCATGCCCGATTTCTATGTATAAGTTCTTTTTTGCTTTCTCAAAGAATATTTTTAAATTCAAATTTGAAATCTTCCATTAGTAACAGCTGTCCTTAAGTTAGATATTGTATCTTAATTGCCCTCCAATGAAGATTCCCCTGAACATAAAGTAATGAAAAAAGCGTAATTACTGCTAAAGAAACAAAAAATGTTATTTAGTTAGAGCATTTTCATTTTTGCGTTAACACAGGATGGTTCATATTTTAAAATGGACGAGTTACTTCACATTAAAGTGTAATTTGTAAAATTTTGATCTAAATGTGCATTATTGTTTAAAAGATTGGTGCACAACACCATTTTTCAAAAAAAAAAAAAACTAGGACTTATTTTTCATGACAGAAAATATAGTTTTTATACTGATATGAAGTCAATATTTATTGAATAGCTAACTAATTTTGGAAACTAAGTTTTTCTGAGCAGGCATTTTTTTCAAAATTTTTTTTTAATTCTTACTTCTAGAACATTGGTTCCCAAAAGGTATTCTGAGGAACCTTAGGGTTACATTGGTTACCCTAGTTAACCTACCATACCACAAGTTAAGACATTCTTTTTAAAACTGTGATTATATTTATGTCTCATCAATTATTCATTATCTATTTAAGATTTCAATTATTCTTAAGAAGTTATTTAAGTAAAATACCAGTAGAAAAAAATAAGCAAAATTAAAAAATGTATTCTTATTATAACAATGGAATAAATTAAGAAAAGGATATGGATTTGTAGAAAATTGCATTAGTATTTCATATGGAACTTTTTAATTTAAAAAAAAAAACATAATTCAATTTCATTTTTTTTTTAGCATTTGAATATGGCAGAAAATATGAACTAGACAATTTGCCACTTCAGTCCTACAAATTCAACTGTCTATTACAAAATATCTTTGAAAGTTTCATTGTTAACATCAAGAAAAATTTTCATTCACATTAAACATTTTAATAGTAATTAAAAGTAAAAAAAGAAAGTAAAAGCAATGATGAACAACTAAAGTTTCTAAAAGAAAGGCAATAATTTAGGGTTTCATAGGAGAAAAAAAACGGGAAACCACTATTTTAGAATAATGCTTAGTAGTTCTTCGAATAAATATTAAGCTAAAAAATTAAACTACATTTTTTTTTTGCAACACAGAAAAATAGGTGAAAAATTTTGCTACTATGTTAGAGATCAAAAAATATTTAACTGTACAAAAAAGAAATGTATTAATAACAAATATTTCACATGATATATTTTATAAAATTTATTCAAATTAATAACATCTTTAATAACAAGTATATTTGGCAGCTAGTTACAAATAATTAACAATAGTTTTATAATTAACAGCTAGTAATAATTTGCATTTACAGAAATTTATCTTAAAAAACAAAGGAATGACACAAAAAGTGAGAAAAAAAATTAAAAAAAGAAAGAGAAAGTAAACAATGAAATTGCACATGTCTACTTCACAGTAAGTGGGCAGGAATATTTCGGCACATTAATGAAGAATGTTAAAATAATGTTGGCCACAAAGATTTTTTTTTATTGTATGAAGAAGATATATATTTATTAAAAGTGTTCTCGTAATTGCAGCTAACCTCTATATTTTGAAGGTTAAGAATCCAAATGTGTAAAAAAATATATATCTTTATTCAGAGAAAGTACGCTTTTGTGTCCGATTTCGTAACTTAACAAATAATTAGCATATTTGAGGTCATCCCCAGGAACCCTTACAGGGTTGCCACAGAAAAAAAAATGAACAAAAGTTGCTTTTAGTACCCTAAGGCATGAAAATAGTTGCCTAAATAAGAACAAAATTTGATCAAAAATATGACTAAAATTTTATTGAATGACTTAATTGTCATATACCATAATTTATTCAAAGATAAGTTTTATACAATTAAAAAAAAATTACACAACAGAAAATGCATACCTTGATAAAAGTTGAAAACAGTAAATTATGGGAAATAGAATATAGAAGGGAAAAAAATATAAAAATAACACAATTATAAATCAGAGAGAAAAAATAAAATATACTTAATTGAATATTAAGAAGAAATTAAAATTTTGGTATTTCAGACATAAATGATAGTATAAGAATGTTTTTTCTTTTATTCAGAATGGGCCCATGGGCCACAAGTCGTGCAATCGAATTCATGCACCATCATCACTAGGAGTACAGAAAAGTCTCCTTTTCCTGAAAATTGTTGCTTTTTTGGCCTTTCTAGGTAAAATAAAAAGTTGCCACAGTTGCCTTAGGCCTAAAATAGTTGCAAATAGTTGCTTGTTGCAACCCTCCATTAAGACTGACACTCAGAATGTGAAAATCTTATGATTAGAAGGAAAGTTATTCAGCGTGATATCTTTTTTCCTGCTCACTGTACATAGTTATAAACATTAACAATTAAACTGGTGCAATAATAATTTTTTTTTAATTAAGTAGAAAAAAAGGCTCACCTCAATAACCACAGAATGGCACTTGTACTTTTTTGCCAAAAGCAATTTCAATTCCTGATTTTCTATGAAGCCCACATATTTAGAGATAAGCTTGGAAGAAAAGATAGAAAAAATTACTATAACAAAATCTAAAACTAAATATATGTGGCAAGCATATCTTTTTTTTCTCAAAAAATTGCAAAATCAATCAAATAAAAACAAAAAAACATACAATTATCCAGCATGAAATTTATTAATAAATTTAATTTTATATTCTTAAAAGCATATATGGAGCATGTTATCAATGACCAAGATTTTAAAGCCATGGAGGGGCTAATAAATTAAGTATCAACAAAAAACTCTGCAATACAGCACTATAATGAATATAGTGAATACCTGGTGGTTGTGAAAATATTTAGTGGTCTCGTTCCAGCTGTTACGTAACTAATGTTGCTTGGAACGCTTAGCATGAACAGTTAAAAATTGACAATTTGTCTTTAGTTGATACAATCTAAATAGTCTACACAATATTAAAATTAATTTGCACTAAATTTTTAGTATATGCGATAGGTATGACTATTAATTAAAAATGAAGTTTTTTTTTTATTTCCAATCCCCACCTGTGTTAACATTTCATCAATTCAGGCATTATATAATATAAGTACCAAAAACTAAATATATTCTTTACACTTTTATAAATAGCCAATTATGATATGAGTCAGATAATGAATAATAAAAAACAGAATAACTCTTTTTTAAAAAATTAGGTTTTTTAACAAAGTGCACATAAAACTAGATTACTTTTAAAAAGAGGAAACAAATGAGTATAATTTGCTCTATAAATACAAATTAATATCATACTTAAATTACATAATTTGTTACAGAACCAAAAACTGAATATATTCTTTGCACTTTTATATATATTGCTCTATTTTATCATGATGTTGAATTATTGCCACACCCTTAAAACTTTGAACATGAAACATAAATTTAAAGAAACATTTTAAACACAGAGTTTTTATACAACTTACCTCATGCGTTGCTTGCATTTTTGATAGAACTCTTATTATTTGGGGAAAACTTATGCAGGACTTAACTTTTTCATTCCCAAGCCAATTCTAAGTAATAAAAATAAAACAGCACATAAATGTACAGGAAGTAAAATGGAATAAAAAAAGTGCATCATTAAATCATTACTTCGAGAATTATTAACCAGTTTAACTTGTAGTAAACAATTTCATGCAGGTCGCTCTATAGTTTGTCTACAGTAAGAACTCCACCCGCCGCAAAATCTGAGGCCATCTGCTGCTATGGAAACAAGAATAACGCATTTCAGAAAGGGTAGCTACAATTTATTCCAGGTTAGCTCAATATGAAAAAAATTCCCTTTCTTTCCCTGTTAGGACATGTTCACTCAAATCCTGTCCTAAACAATGACCCCACACCCCCACTTGATATCGTTATACCTTGTTAGCATAGTCACTGCCACGGGTCCAGACAAATAATATGGGGAGTTACTACTTTAGACAAACTATACAGGTCATAGAAATGCAACTACAATTTTTAGCCCAAAATTTTACAACAGCAAAATTGTTTTTGAATATATGGGAAAAAATATATTAGAATTTACCAGTCATAAATGATTTTTATTCAGAGTGACAATTTTTGAAAATGTTTTCTTACTTTACCATATTTTTGTGTTGATTTTTTAGCATGATTTCTAATTTTCACAAATTATGTCTAAATTTTCAGAAAATAGGTACCTCTTAAAAAAACCTGGACAGGCCTCTGATATTGAAATTTTTAAATACATAAAACTAAAGAGAGATAAAAACTGTTTCCGATTTGAACTGTTACATGACATTCGTTATCATTGCTAACAAGTAAAATTTCTCCTCATTTACTACTTTGCATTGAGCAGCACTGCATAATAAGTTAAAAATGTACCTTTTATGTGTAGTTACAAAATGCCTATGCATTGTATAATTTTATGAAATATATTCTGAACTGATAATGTAAATTTACTTCTTTAGTAGTGAATATCAAATTGATTCACTATAAGAGGCAAATTTATACGATGATTATTTTCCTTTTCTACGAAGCACACTTCCCCATTGAATTCAACTAAGTTTCCGAATAAGAAATCAGCTGATTTAATGTAATTTACGAAAGATTTTGTTATCTATACATAGCTGCAAACATGGATAGGAGAAAATCCTATAAATTTTACAAAATAATATAAATTTCATGTTAATTGGTGTATAATGTACAAAATATTTTACACATATGGAATTTTAGGGATTTTGATAGTCGTCAAAACAGAAAAACTGCTATCTTTTCCAGTTATGATTTACATTAAACATACTTGAAATGTAATGTATCATGTTTACTCATATTTCGAATTTTATTAGGCATTTAATTCATCAAAGGTAGTTGAAAGATTTTTTTTAAATTTAAAAAGAGAGTTCTGAATATAAATAAACTGAACATTTTAGAACAAAAAAAGTTTTGAATTGATTTGTATAAAAGAGGTTCGCTTTATTATGCATATCTGCCTACTCTACCGGATTTTGTCAGTTTCTCAAGGTCTACTGGTTTAATAAAAATTCTTTTAGTTTTTTGAACATTTCAGAAAATTCCCTAAAATTTTCAAAAATAATAATAATAATAATAGTCCCTAATGCAAAAAGAATTTTTGCTGAGATTATTGTTGTCTTGAAAAGTTAAATAAGTATTACTAATGCATAATGAAGCGAGCCTCATTTATAGAAATCAATTTAAAACCTTTTTTTGTTCTAAAATGTTCACTTTATTTTTATTCAGAGCTTCTTTTTTAAATTAATTAAAAAATCTTTTAACTATCTTTGATGAATTAAATGCCTATTACTATTCAAAGTTATGAGTAAACATAAATCATAACATTTCAAGTTCATTTGATGTTAATAATGACAAGAAAATATTGCAGTTTCTCTACTTTGATGACTATAAAAATCCCTGATTGTAAAATTTTTAGCACAATATGCAACAATTATCATGAAATTTATATTATTTTTTAAAATCTATTGGATTTTTTCCTATCTATGTTGGCAGCTATGATTATGTATTAATAATACTTATTTAAATATTCTAGAAATAAAGCAATAATCTGTACAAAAATTCTATTTTAATAGGGATTTTTAAGGAAACTTTCTCAATTTTAGGGAATTTCCTAAAATGTACAAAAAATTAGGAAAATTTTAATTAAACCAGTAGATCAAGAGAAACTGGCAAAACCCAGTAGTCTACTGGAAAATCCAGTAGAGTTGGCAGCTATGTTTATAGAGATAAGATGCTTTTTGCTACTTCCAATCATAGTGTGCAACATTTCAAGCAAGTTAAAATCATTTAACTCTAAAAGGTGTTCATTTACCTTGCTTATAAACAGCGCATCCATCTCTGCCCATTTCTTTGATACTATAAACGCTCTAACAGCACCCCAAGTATATTGTTTTCTTGATAACTACAGAACACAAACACATATTAGAACACACACCACAATTCAAAAGGAAAAAGAAAAATCCCCTTCATCGAGTAGAGCTTTAGAAAAAAATCTACATAATAATGTTCAAAAAATAATTTTAAGCCTTTGCTCTGCTTATGTTAAATAAATTCCCCCCAAATAAATAATGGGACTTTTTTTCTAAAATTAAAAGCAGATCAAGTTTTTCGAAGACAAACTACGATCAAAAATTCCATAAAAAAAAAATCTCTACAGCCGAACACCAAATATTCGGCAGAGTATCGAATATTTGGCAGGCCAAATAGCAACATCTTTCTAAAAAATCATTAAAAAACATATATAATAATTTCATATGTATATAAGTTTAATCATTAAAAAATAATTAAAACTTACTATATTATTGGTATGGGTTAAAGGGAGAAAAAGTATAATAGTTATTTATAAGAAATATTTAAGAAAAATTTAAAAAAAAACTGATTAACTGCTATGAAAAAAGCTTAAGTTGTAAATTTGAAAAAGAGGAATAAAATCCTCTTAATTCTTAAAACAAAACTCAAAATGCTAAAAATAATATTTTCCAACAAAATAGTATTCATAAAACATTAAAAGAAATATAGTCTGTCAAAAATGCTGTGCTATCATAAAAATGCACATAAAAACAGAAGATTTTATACAAAAAAGATAAAAAATCTACCTTAATTCTCAAAAGGAATTATGAACCTGAAAATCTGTATTACGTAAAGGAAAAAAGTGAAAATAAATAAATTAAAAAATCTATCAGAAACACTGCATTAAAATACTGTATTATGATGAAAACAGATAAACGAAACAAAAAGAGAACAAAACAAAAAAAGAACAAAAGAGAAACAAAAAGAGAAAAATGATTCTTAAAACAAAAGGTGCTGAAAAAACAACAAAATTGATTTGCCAGAATATGATTTAAAAAAAAAAAATCAGCAGTACAAAACTAATGGTTCAGTAAAAAATAATTTAGTTTCAATTGAACAAATTTCCCTTTTCCATTTGTCTTCCAGAGCATAAATTTGGCAGTCATGTACAAGTTACAGAACTTAAAAATATATAAAACTATTTCTAATAATGTAAAGTAAAAAACACAATTTTTGATTATTCTTTATTAAATCTATTAAAATTCAAAGAAAAAACACTTTTGTAAAAAAATATTTTGCTGAATATTTGGTTAAACATTTTTCCAGCCGAATATTTGGCCTTTTTAATGAGGCTGTTTAGAAGGAGTACAAAAGTTGTTTTTTCTGGAAAGTGGGGAAAGAAGAAAAATTATTTTGTCATTAAAGCCACAGATATAAAAAAACAACTTTTCTTGTCAGTGTCATGGCTTGGATGAGAAAAAATTTAGAGCTGTGAAACACTCAAAGTTGTTTTTTTAATTTATAAATTTTTACAATTAAAATAAATTTAATTTTATATTGATATTGCTGTCACAAAATTCAAGTTGACTTAATGACAAAAAAGGAAGAATTGGCTGTCAGGTGTGATTTATAAATATTATGCAATATTGATAAGCTGAACACATAGATCTGCTTATCAATAGACATAAATCATCTCTGATAAAAATAAATAGATAGATAAATAAATAAAAAGGAGATAGGAAAAAAAACACTGGAACACTTCAAGGTCATAAGAGAGTGTTCAATTGTAAAAATACTGAGAACTTTTAAAATTTGGCTTACATTATATAAATGTGGCTTACATTATATGTGGCTTTAGTATATCCAGGACTAATAAAAGCTGCCTATAAAAAATAAAATGAAAAATTAGTATACAATATATAATTTATATTCATCAGTTGTAAAAATGCATAATATATAAATTTTAGTAAATTTTGTCGCCATAAAAAAATGTTACTTAATAAAAATCACAATGAATATTAAACATTTTTATGAACGATTCTTTACAAGTACTAGTGATTACTATTATCACTGTGCACTAATTTAAATATATATACATAGGGTAACGTGCAAATGTTGTGACAAACTTTTAAGGGACGTAGGGCACATCAAGAATTACATGGCAACCCATGACCATACAGCAATAGTGACACTTCAATACTATGAACTTATTGTTCATCTGTCTTGGTACTTTTTATTATCTAAAATGTCTTAATTTCATATTTTTTGTTAATTATTGTCAAAGTTTACATTCAAATAGGCTCAAAAATAGCTGCTTCATTGTAATTTAATTATTTAGCAAGTTTGTCAACAAATCAATAATAATTAAAATTAAACAATAATTGTAGGAAAATATACAATTAAGATATTTTAGATAAATAAAAGTACAAAATATCAAATGAACACAAACAATACATTTATATTAGGAAAGCACCCCTTGTTGTGTACCGTGACATTTTCAGTCATGGGTTGACATGAATTTCTTGATCTGTATGATGTGCTCTAATTTGCCTATAAGACTGTTGCAACATTTGCAAGTCACCCCTATGTATATACATATACCTGCAGATTAATATACTTTAAATGATTTTTTCCACTATTATGCTTTCATTTCATATTTTTTAAGCAGGCAACATAATTTTAAATTATTTTTCTGGGTTGATAATAAATACCCTCTGTCTCTCAAAACATTTTTTTACATTTTCATTTTGGAATTATATGATGTTTTGACTCTTGATTAAGTTATGTTAACAAATAACGCATTATTATTTATACAGAATAAATATTAAATATTATAGGTGTTCTATTCATTATTGGAATTAATATATTTGCTTCGACGTTATACACAGTACGTAACCACAGGTCATGATAAAAAAGCAAGGTTGGCAAAATTCATGATTTTTTCTACAAAAAAACAAATCAGATTTGGTCTAAATTAGATTTTTTGATTTACTAGCTAAATTATCTTATAAAATGAGTTAACAATATATTATAAATTAACAGAATTATTATAAAATGTATTAATGATATTATTACAAACAATTACATTATTAACAGTATTATTTGAAAACAATAATATGGCTGAAATAATTGATGTTTCTAACTAATTCTAAAAAAATATATAGTTTAATAATTACAAATTAATCATTGAATAAATAAAGACACAGTTATTTTTGTTCAAACTAAATGTCCTAAAATTTCAAAGAAAATACATTCATTATATTAAAAAATCATTTTTAAAAAAAAATTATCATTAACGTTATATATTAATTTATCATATATTTAATAATTATTTTAATGGTTTTTAAACGTTTTATAATTTATTTTGTATATGAATTGATATTTGAAACAGATGCATTAAATCCACGATCGATCACACAGTAAAATTTTGTGCAGCGTATCTGACGGCACGGCTTTTCTGTTGAACAGCTTTCCTTTTAAGTCAACTTTTATAGGAACGGCGTACATCCCAGGGTGGTATATCACCGCAAAATTATGTTAAATATACCCTACAAGAGAGAATAACCTCTAACAGACTATATCTTTTTTGGACGAACGATGCAAAAACAATTTAACTCTTCAAATTTTAAGTACATAATAAAAAATATATTATAGCATTTGCATTTGGTTTAATATTGTTCTGAATTTCAGATATTATTAAAATTCGAGAGTCATAACATTTACCTCAGATGCATTGAAATAAAACAAAGCTTGAAAAATAAGGCTACACATCACAGAGGTATCAACAAGTTTAATTTCATTCGTAAGTTGTCGATAGTAATTAAAAGCCTCAACTTCAGAAGAACTTGCTGCTGCATGATACTCCTGAAATAAAAAAATGAGTAGAAGTTAATACATAAAATATACAACAAAAATTATTTCCCCTGTGGCAGAATTGTTTGGGCTTTCTGCGACTTACCTATCTAATACTAATATCTTTCTGCAAGAGACTTAAAAATAAATAAATTAACAAATTTAAAAATTCGGTTAAAATAAAATTATTTTTTTAAGTGAATATATAAAAAAATTTTATTTAAATATTATGGTTGATATTCTCGCGTTATGTATCAAGATAACACACTAATTATTTCCTTTTTTGCATTTTGTAATTTCTCATCACATTTAAAAATAAAGTTAAAAAATATAATTGTGAAATCTGTAGCAGTAAGAACCAAAAAAAAGATGGACGTTGAAATCATGCAAACGGGCTCTTCAAAAAAAGGTTACTAATTCCGTGTTTTCAATTTGAGATTCAGTTATTGTAATAAATAATATGGTATTAAAAATATCAGATTTTAAAAAAAACTATGTGGAAATCAGTAGTAATAACTGCATGAAAAAAAAATGGAACAAAAATTTCTACAGAAAAGAAAAGAAACTTTTTTACTTCATAATTGTCCCCCCCCCCTATTATTCTCAAATGAGAATAGAAAAATGATAAGCATTTTTTTTAAAAATCCGATGCCCGAGAAAGGCATCTTTTGAATATAATTCTGAAGAAAAGACAAAATCTTTCTGCAAATACTCCGTAACATTCGGCAACAATATCGCCCTGATTCTGCCACAGATTCTTTAATATTATAAAAAGTAGTAATGAAATAAAAACACATTATCATCTGCAAACAGTATTTACTACTTTTGGTTTAAAAGTTATAAGGCAAAGCATTTATGGCTGGCTGAATGTAAACAATAACCGGCTTTCTAAAACCGGAAGAAATTTAGAAAGCTTCAGGTGTATCCCTCCGCTTATGTTATGCATACGAGGAGAAATACAAACAGGCTTAATATTCTTGGAAGTTTTATTATTGTGATTTATGTTTAAATTTACGTGTAATTTTACCATTCATAAGAGTTTTCTGTAATTTATAAATTCTATTTGGTTGTGAGTTGAATTGAAGAAAATTAATATCACAGCATAAATAAAGTGTAAGGTTTGCAATGTTTTAAGTGTTATCACCTATTTGGCTATATTTGTATAAATCATTAATTATCACCGCTACTTATTTTTTGGGTTGCATCTTGCAGGCCATAGCAGGCTTGCGGAGTCTTCCAAATTCTTATGTTTGTTTTGTTGAAATTTAAATTGAAAGAAAGTGTTACATTGTAAACACTATAAGTATAATAATATTTGATAGCACCATTTTTTAAACTTAAGCATAAAAATCAATCGCAAGTAGAAACACGGAAGTCTTGTGACGAATTTTAACCCCTAGCGCTATTTGGGCTTAACTTTACACGGTCAACAACCCATAGGATATTGTGAAATGCATAGGACATTTTTTTATAATTTGAAACTGAATACAAGCAAAAATATTAACTTATGCCTGAAAAATACATGGAATCTAAATAACGTGAACTAAATGGACGCACTGATGATTTTCAAATATGAAAAATTTGGGGTATTGAAAATTATAATACATATTTATTACATTTTCAAAAAATAACTTTACTTTAAAATACTTTTAAGAAAAGTCATATATTTAAAGAAACAATTACTTCGAAATATTTATTTATTATTAATATAAATATTTATACATAAATATTTATTTAGATACATTTAAAATAAGGTAGTACAAAATAGTTTTCTAAAAGCAATTTAATATATCATTTTCAAACGAGTGAGCATTTAAATGCAATTAAAATTGTTCAATATTTCATATTAAAAGTTTTTGTTACATAAGATTTTAACTTTATTAAAAGGTTCAAGGGGAATTTATCAGAATTGGTTTTCATAAATGCATACTATTCTGATAATTAAAGAAGCTTGCGGTGTATCTACCACTACAAATATACAATTCTAACTCACTAGTATATAAGACATGTTAACTTGATTCTATGAAGGGTACCTTTTCATAGATGAAGGTTGACATGGTCGATTACTCCTCGCCCCAAGCTCAAGAAAAAAAATTAGAAGAATATCAGAATGAGTTATTAGATAAAAAAAGGAACTCACATCTAGAGCAATCTGGTCCCTCAGCAGTTGCTTGTGTTCAAGGACAGAGGCACACAGAAAATCATCCACAACACCACCCTGAAAATGAGTGCTGAAAACTTCATTTATAATGCATGCCATCTTAATCAACATTAGAAAACAACTTATACATATTAAATAGAATACCTAATGCAGTTATTAATATTCTTCAGTTTCCTATCTGGGTGATGAAGAGATAGAGCTGATTTGTACTTTGTCATCTGAAAAGAAAGGAAACACTTTACCTCAATATTAACATAAAGTATGAAAATAAATTTGCTAAAATACATCTCTACCCTGTGATAACATTTACAATGTGTATTTTTGCCTTTTTTTTAAAGCACGAATAACCCTACTTCAAAACCTTACACACAAGTTTTCTTGTAAAAAGAAAAAAAAACTTATTGCAGACATCTTTTAAAAAACTATAAGAAATAAAGCATTATACTCACAGAAAGGCTAAATAAATTTTAAACACTAAGTTTATTGAAAAAAAACTAAGGACACTGACAAAATCTGCACTTAACTATACATCCCTCAACTAAGTACAGAATATAATTAATTTTTAAAAAAAAGAAAGAAAAGAAACACCCACTTCCTCTAAGTTGTAACACATCCTTCTCCAGAAAGTGACAATAGCACAGCATTAAAATTTCTGAATTTTAGCTGCAATTTACACAAAAAATTTCTTTTATATAAAATTATATGCCTTCATGCCTAATGAAAAGTTTAAAAATTTGCTTGATTTTAACAATCCAGAGAGAAATTTTTTTTTTAAGTAGAGCATATTCTGTCGTTGAGACTGAAAAAGTGCGAAAGACAATATTATTGAATTTTATTTCTTTTGTTTCCTTGTTAGTACGTACGATTCAATAACATTTTGGACAAAAAGTTTGTGAACGCATTTAAAATAAAATGGTTTCCATTTCTATTATGATCGAAAAATATATAATCAGTTTTCACACTAAGCTGCATCCAATTTATTTGCTACACGAATAAGGACTAAAAAAAAATAATCAGTAACATTTATCTATTTTTTATAATAACATTTACATTTTTAAAATAAATTTTTAAACAGTTAAAATTAGCAAAGTTAACAAAAGGAAATATAATTTTTCACAACATAGTAAAATTACTTTATAATTTCAATACAGCATTTAATAATTTAAGAAATATATCTTTTGAAAATTAAATGCTTTTTTTTTAAATTTCAAATGCTCACCCGTGTTAACATTTCTTAAAATTAAATGCAACTAAACTAATTCTGTTTGGGTTCATACTATTGCACAGGCAATTAAATCAACATTTCCTCATAGCTGTATCATTAAACTTGATTTTTCATTAAACAAGTTGGAAAAAAAAAATTTTTTTTTGGCTCAGTGCAGATTTTTTGAAGAAAGCAGATATGTATATGTTCAAGATGTTGATTAAATTAAAAAACAGACAACTGATTGTTACTATAAAAATATGACATGAAATTATGATAAAATATATCATCTTTCTACTTTCATAACATACAGTTCAGCTTTGATTAAAATCAGTTATATAAAAACAAGTTTCCAAAGCAAATTAGAGTGAATAGGGAAAATGTTAGTTATTAGAGATTATGAACATAACAAAATTTAAAATCGTTATTCCTACAAAATACTATGGTGCACGCATTTTCTCTTAAAATGAAAAAAGCAATAACTTAATAAATAATAGATAATTAAAATTCAAGTTTTAAAACTAAATAATTCAATATAAAATCAAGAAATTGAGGTGGAATTCTTTTCTTTCTTTTTATATTATTATAATTTTAAGAACAGTGTGAAATAAAAATAATAACTATCATACATGTTCCAACATTAATCTATTGCAAAAAAATAGCCATAAAATAGAATACTCTATTCATTATTTCAGAAAAAAAAAAAGAATTACTTACAGCAGCTTCCTCTGAATTGTCCAACAATCTAAAATGTTAAAACATCAAGATAAAAATGGGCATTTAAAAACAATAAAAATATTTTTTAAGCAAATATATTATAGAAATTAAAATTTATTTAAATGCAGGGTAATTGACGCGGAAAATATCAAGTTTTATGTACCATTTCTTCCTGAGTTATGTAAATAACATTTCGTAAAATCAACAAACTTTTTAGTTTGACATTACTTGTCTAAATAGTTTTACTTTAGAGGTTTTGTTTATAACTCTTTCAATTACATGATGCACCAGGGAAAAAAATGTTGCATTACACATTATAAGAAAGAACAAAGCATATATATATATTTTTAAGAGTTAATATTAATTTTATTCAATTATTAGTAGAACAGGAAGCATGCAAAATAGATAACTAAAATTTTTGAACATAGGGAGAGAATTTTCAGAAGATTTTTGAAAGTTAAAGTGGGAGGCTGGCTTACGATTAAATCTGTTAATTTTCCAAAATTCTCAGAGAATGAGGAATCCCCAAAATATTTTTCGTGTGATGAAGTAATAGCAAGTCCTCAAATATTTCAAAATGGCACATAATAAACATGTAAATACTAAGGTGTAAGGTGGCTCCATCTTATACCTTTGTGTGAAAAGATAATTTTAAAAAAAAGTAGGGGAAAAAACATGAAGGCTAATTTATAATTTTAAGAACTTCATTTATACAAAATTTCTAGTGATACACTCAATCAGGGTCGGACTGGGAATAAGGGCCCAGGGGTGCACTAGAATTAAGAACTCCTGAAAAGTCTCCAATTTTTTGGAAATATTAATAAAGCATCATTAATTTCGCTTAGTAACTTGATTTGAAAATTTTTTAAACATAATGAGCTAAATATTTTATATTTAATTTTAAAGCTCTAACATTTTAGTTTACCTAGTTTATTTTGGAATTAATTGCAAAAAAATTACTTTTGTTCAACATTAGTTTAATTATCATCAATAAAATAAAGGACAGGAAACTAATTTCCAGAAATATGTTCATTTACTTTTATCAATCCTAGACTGCTGAAACAATTTAAAACGCCGTTTAAACTAGTGTAACCCAAAAAATTTCTAAACAAGTTTTGTTTTCACTCAATCAATATTATTAAACAAAAATATTTATCATAAGTTTTCCATTGAAAAGTGCATTTTAACTTTTAAGAACTGACATATGAAAACAATTTTTTGTTAAAAAAATAGACAATAAAACCAATGGGCGAAAAATATTGAAATGCATGCATTGTTATGAGATATTAGCATTTATGTAACTACTTTTCATTACATAACCAATTTGAAATCAGCAAAAATCAGTTGATTTAGTTCAACTTGTTTCATTTTTTGAGATGCTGCATCAATTTATGAAACACATTTCTAAAGTTTTAGATCAAAATGGAAAACTGTTTTCAACTCAAGTACAATTTTTAGTTGCACAGGAGTTGTAATCATTGCAAATTCATGTATGAGTTAATATATTGAAAATCATTGTAATATCATTTCATCTGTTTTTTTCCTTCTTCTATTTTTAGAGAGAGGGAGGTTTTAAAGATTCCTTGGCTTAAAATATTTTGCTGGTAGGGCCTGGGTTTGTACAATCAAAAGTCTGTTAACTCATAATTTTATTTATATTATGCTGCAATTGTATTCATGTTTTTTTTCTTTTGTTTCAAAATTCCTCATTGCGAAGATGAATCATTTTGCATAGAAGTATTTTTCCTTCCTTTTATTTAGTTTTAGAGGCGAGCTGATTTGTGAGGGGACCCTTGGTCTCAATGGACACAAAAGTTTGTAAACTCAGAATTTTATGTCCATGCATTAGTTTCCTATAGTTATTTAAATTGCGACCTTACGTAGCTTCAGACTAATTCATTAAATAAAATTTTAAATAAATGTTTTATTCATTTTATGCCAATAATAAAACAAACTACAACAAAGAATATTTTGAAGCTATCTTAATTTTTTTTAAATAATTATTTTTTTTGTTTTGCTTAAAAGAACATGGGATCAGAGGGCCTCATCTTTAACGAAGGCCCAATATTTTGGCTAAGCCATAGGGGGTGATCGCTTTTTTTGGTCTGTGGCCAGTCCGACTCCGCACTCAATCATCTAAAAATTGGTCTTCAAGATTTTAAAAATTTTATCAGGTTATTTTAACTTGGAACTTTGTTTAACACAAAAAACATTGTCTTTGAAATCTAAAATTGAATCTCATAGGCCAACAGAAAGTTTTTTTTTTGTACTTCACTGTGATTTCATTTTCCATCCAGGAAAACTGAATTTTTTGGCTTTAATATTCTCAGTGGGCCAGTCATAATGTATTATTCAGAAACCTGGTTTGTAACTAAAGATGGAAGAAGCAGTTTTTGAAAGAAAAGTTCTTAGAAGAAAATGATCGTTAAAAAGCCTGATATCAACAAACACATTAAAAATAAAAGAATGAACTAGGCTGATCAGATTGCCAGAATGGATGAAAAAAATACAATAAAGAAGATTTTTGTATCAAAGTCCATCACAAGTCGAAAAGAGAAAACCAAAAACAACAATGGCTCAGTTCTGTAGAAACAGATTTTAGAGTGACTAAGGTAAAGCTCAATCAAAAATTAGGTTTTTCTAAAAGAATCTTCAACAGAAGGCCTTGGCCCACCTTGAGCTGTCATGCCAAATATAATGAATTTAAATACATAAAAAACATCTTTAAATGAAATATTAATTGTATAAAAGATATTCTAACAAATAAGTTGGTTTGAAAGAGAGAAATACATACAAGAACATATTTGCCAATTCATCCATTTCATGGTCTTCTTCGAGGAAACTTAAATAAACTCTCACAGCATCAGGATGCATTCGGATCTCTCTATGAAATATGGATTTCTTTAGTGTGCTTTTTAAAAATGATACTACCTGAAAAATATCATCATTTTAAATAATTGAATGTAAGTTAAAAAATAATTTCAGTATCAAATTTAGAAATAGCAATGAAATATGCCATAATACTATTTAACTAAAAAAAAATTAATTATTAAATTTTTAGAATATTGAATGCCAAGAATAAAAATATTAGTCCAAAGTCTTCTTTTCACTTCACTTAAATAAAAAAAAAATCCAACTGCTTTCACATAAGCTGAATATTTTCCAAAAATTGTAAAAAAAAAATTTCTTATTCAAATTATTCTTCAATTAATTATATTATGCAAGTTTAAAATATGTATTGTAAATATTTTTTATAAACATATATTTTATGAAAATAAACAGTAAAAATATCAGATATCTTAAAAAAAAAACATAAGTTTTCTTATTCTTATAGTACATGTTTCTTCAAAGACATTTAGTTTTAGTTTAGAATATTTTGGCTCAGCTCCTTACTTTTTTCGTCTTCTTTTTTTTTTAAAACGTGTATTGCTTAAATTATAAATGCAAAAAATTTTATTCTAATACTAAACTGCAATGCATTCAGGAAAGTTGCTAACTATAGTTCTTAGATAAACAATTTCAAAATATTACCTCTGTGCATTTTCCTTTCATTTATTACTTCAAACAATAAAATCTTATAGTTAAAAATTTTTAATAGAAGTCCATTTCATTTTTTACAACACTTTTTTTTCAGGATGAAATGTTTTAAAAGAAAAATTTATAACACTTCATTATCTACAGATGATTGTAGATGAATACAGCAATAAGCAACTTCAAGTTTATCATTTGAAAGGTTTAAAACTTTCTCCTAAATAGGATTATAATAACAGAAAATTTAAAGGAATTCAAATAAATTTCTTTAAAAAATTGTCAGTCTTTTTATATTCCCAGAGTTTTTTTAGATATTTTTATTTAGTACAATCAAATATTTATTCAGTTTTTTTTAAGTTTATTTATTTATTGTAAAAATGAAGTTATTTATTTTTGAGCTACTCTTTCATGTTTGGAAAAATTAATGTTTTAGCCAAGTTTATAAAGTTAACCCAGTACTAAAAGAATTGAGTAATAGAAATTTAAATGAAAATTTACAAACATATTTTATTGAAACAAAAAAGTAAATAAATCTTTTAATAAGATTTATGTATGCTAACGAAAGTCCTCCCAAAACACTTCTGTAAATGCTTTTCGACTATTTTTTTTTAAAAAGATAGAAAACAAGACACTCACAGCAAGAATAGCATTTCCATCATGACTAGATACCGCTATTTTCAATAGTTCAGACTTGCTTTCTCTAGACTTAAAGGGTTCCAAGGTATAACTCTGAAAAGGACTCACATCATAAATAAATATCAGCAAACAGTAAAAAAAATAACATTAATTTGAAAACAAGATAGCATAAGTAATAAAAGGAATAAGTCTGAAAATGACTCACATCATAACTAAATATAACAAAAATAAGCAAACAGCTAAAAAATAACATTGATTTGAAAATGAAATAGCATAGGTAATAAATTTGTAATAGAACCATTGATCATTGCATAAATTTTAACTAAAAAAAAATAAAGAAATTAAATAAAGACACACAACTTTGACGCAGCCCTGGATTACTTAGCTTAAGCAGCATCATTCTTTTCCCCGTGACCTTTATGCAACTTTCAATTTAAATTGGCTGTCGCTGATCACATTGGTAAACAGAAAAAATATTGGTGACTAGTTTGAGCGACGAAGTATCATTCCACCCCATCTGTTATTTTAATTTATGCATTTTTCACTTTATTTGCTTCATACTTTTAAATAAATAATGACAAGTTGTTACGCATTTGGGTGTTCTTATAAGTCAACTTTAAGCTTTAAATTACATTGCTGGCCGGTTGAAAATGGCAATAAACAGCAACGGGAAATATGGCTGCATAGAATTAGTTACGTGAGATATGAAATTAATTTATTTATTCATTTGTTTCACACATTATTTATTAATTATGTAGAACAAATATGTTTCACTTTTTTTTCTTTAAATTCGAGGTATAACAAATTCAACTGCATTAAATGTATTTACATGAAAGAAATGAAAATAGACAACAAATATTACTTTTACCTATAACAAATTGGAAAATATAATTACAACAAATATTATTTTAATAACAGAATTTATTAGAATTTAATATTTATAGAATTATATTAGAATTTAAAAATTTGTCAGAATTAAAAGCAAACTAGTGTAACATATTAAATATGTTTCAACTGAAATTTTAAATTTTTATGTTTTAATATGGTCATCTAATTCCTATTTGATCAATATTGGTTAACACTAACTACGTATTTAATATGCTTTTAAAGCTCTTAAAGTATTCAAATAGACATAAAACTAAGTATAATTAAAATGTGTCAATTCTCAGCAAATTGTTTTACATACAGCTAATGGAAAATTAGAATTTACAAGTTTAATGTTACTCTTATCCACTTTTAGTCTCGAATTTCATTTATTTATTAGTCTATTTTGAAATACAATAATTTACCCTTGCAATATTTCATCAGATAAAACCCTTGTTATTAATGAAATCAGACTTTAAAAAGAAACAACAAGGATATGGAGTTGAACATTAGTAGTTGTAAACTCAAAATTGGGTCGGCTGTTCATCAACGAATATAAATAAATATGAAGCGAAAGAAATTTTTTTATGTTCCAGTTATCAGTTACTTATCAAACCTAAGGGAAAAGTATCCTTTTTTAATGAGTTACGAGCTATGTTTCTCATCAGAATGAATGACACAATGTGTAAAAATATAACGTAAATTTTGATGGCATAACAATAAAACATAATTTTAAATAAAACATACTTACTTGTCCTAAAATCATTTGTTTAATGGTTCGAAAAGCTGTCAACTCTTTAATGTCTTTCTTTTCCTGCTAAAATATCAAAATAGAGAGAGAAAAAGTTTATATTGAAACGTAACAAAAAATATTGACAATTTCCCTATTTAAATATGAATTTAATCTGAGTTAAAGAATAAATCGATTTGATTTGGATTAAAGAGGATGATTCATAGTTGAGTACTATCAAAGCTGTACCATCTTTAGATTGATAGGGGGTAACAGTGTATTGAAGAAGTAATGGAGGTCAGTGCTCAATACCAGTTGCATGCTGTTGGCCTCAAAATTGCAGAACTTTAGACCACCTAACCCATAATGTAATGTGTTATAACTTATAAGAATGCTTTACTTTAAACTCTGAAATGGATTGAAAATTCATTAATAAAATTGATAATAAAAAAACATACACATACTATCTAATGTTATTATTTGAAACTATCATATAATGACAAGAGTTTCAAAGAATACATTAGATAGTACCCAATTTTGTTAGTACTATCTAATATTATAAGTACCATGGGTGCCACTCTAAAAAAATTTTAAGACTGAACTTAGTTTTTGATTAATTAAGTGTTGTTTACCAGAATTTTTAGAAATGTATAGCTATCTGACACCAAACTGCACCTTTCCATGATAATGGACCCTATATTAAATCAATAATTTGTTTATTTTTTCTAAAAAAAAAAAAAAAAATTTTATTTAATTAAACAAATGCCAGCCATTGACTATTGGGTCATTAGGCTTCTAGATCTCCAGTACTTCTTAACAATACAAAGTCCTAAAAAAATAATAATTATAATAAACAATATTTTAATTTACAGCAAACAAAGAAAAATAGCTAATCCTTAATATCTTTTTTTACACTAATCACTGCGTAAAATCACTGACTTTTTCTTAAAGCCATTTATTTTTCATTTTACAAGAGCCCATACGACTTTTTCATAAGAGATCACCATCTCGGCAGCCTCCCATTAATTTTACTACAAGTAGTTGTAGAATTATTGTAAAGATATTCATTCTCTACAGAATGTGATCCAAAGAAGTGAGCTAAAGGCTAATTCCCCTGACTCACTATATTTTCCGTTTGTAAGACAGATCGAAACTTAGGTTGCAACTAAAATCTTTTGTAAGGACTTTTGCAACCTTCGGGGTGGCAGAAATTGTGTTAATACAATGGCAGAAAGTCTGCCAAGAGCGACATTCAGCAGTTCTGATATCTTTATTATAGGTAGCTAGAGCGTTTCGATAAGACTGCCATTGCCCAGGTATCCAAAATAAAGAAGTGGTTTATTTTGGAGTTAAAACACATGACATTATGCACATTCTTCTTGATTTTAGTTCTGCTCAGTTTTCTGGGTGCATATTATTTGAGGAAAATGTAACCAGTGTAACGCTATATGCTTAGAAGGGGAATTAAAAATTTTAAAGGACAGGAATTGAAGAATCAAAAATCACAAATTGCTAATATATTCAATATCACGAAAACCATTTTGTTTACAATAATTGAAAATAGTTTATGTAGTGTAAGAGGCTAAAGCACTAAGCATTTCAATCTCATGACATCCTTCGTCTGTAGCAAAATTTCAAAATCTAGAAAAAGCACTGAAATACAGAATATTAAAATATGTCATTCGAAAAAATTAAATGTATTTTTAATCATTAATGTATAATATTAAATACAGTTCTCTCTTGAAATAAAAGAGGGCAGGGTGTTTCCTCACAGAAAAGGGCACTTTTAGTTTTGAAAATTTATCAAAATGTATATTATTATGTATAACTGATTTTGATAATCAACAATTTATGTTACCCTCTTATACTATTTTATGTGTTTATTTCACAAAGTAATTCTTACTCCTTATCCAAATAAGTGAATTTGTAGTTTATAAAGAATAAGTAAATGCATGCTAAAAGACAATCACTGTACCCAAATATATATATATATATATAGCATTTAAATAATAAATATAACATACCAATTCAATTTTAAAATTATTACACCTTTAACAGTCATTACTCAATATTCTTAAAATTTGACTCANTTAAAAAAAAGGTATTTATTTAAAAAATAATTTTAAACTTAAAATTACTTAAAAAAACATGAATACCTGCTTCTGAAAAAAGAGAAACTTATAAAATTATAACCAGTTGAGAATAATCCTAACAACATAAATATTTGTGATAGTGATCAGAATTAAACCTATAAAAATAAATAATTTTATTATTGTGTTAATTTAATTTAAACAGTTAATTATTTTCTTTAAATGTAATATGAATAAAAACTATTTAATAAGTTATAACTACTTAATAAGAATAAAACTTTCTAAACACGATTAGAAAGAACACTGTATTAAATAATATTTGTACTTTATTGGGGTATTTGCCAGTTTCCAAATTCTATTTAAAGCAAAGCATGGTTTAGCCATAATAAGCCCAGTATTTATGAAATATAAATAAATATTTGCAATACTTTTATATACTCGCGATATAGCGACCTCACATTATAACATCCATTCTCTTTTGAACAACAGGGGTCGACATAAAAAGTGTCTGCTGCATTAAATTGAGCTTTTTTTAATACAATATGCATAAAATATATAATCCACAGTAGATACAACAAATAAAATATAAGAATGATAAAAAATAAAAAACAATATATGTAAATTAAAAAAATAATTAGATAACTAACCTTTAAACTAAATTCAAGGGGGTTATATTTCTTTTCAATAATACTTTTATCTTCCTCTAACCAAGTAAGCTGAGAAGTAATATTTCCTAGAATAGCATGCAGGGAAAAAAAGAATGACTCAATGAAGTTCTAAAAATATGCAACACATATACTGTAAAGCACCTTGTGGCAGAATTTTTTAGGGCTTCCTGCGCCAAATCTCTCCAGCATTAATATCTCTCTACAAGATACTTTTAATAGTATCAAATATACATGTTACTAATTTAAAGAAACAAATACGTTGCGTTAAAAAAAACTATTCAAAGAAATTAAAAAAAGTTTATATTAATTTTTTTTTAAAGGAATATGTTAACTTTACTTTTTGTGCATTTCGCCATATCTCGAGAACTTTTTTGGCCAATTGAAAAATTTCTTGCACACAGTTATAAAATTTGTTTATAGAAAGATATTTCAATGCAAAAAATAAATGTTAGCAAATATTTATGATTTAATGAATAATAGTTGGAAAAAAATTTGAATTGTAAGGTGTATACTTTTTTACATTATTTTAAAATATGTAATTTTACATGGAAAAATACATGATTTGAAGAAAATCCGTAGAATAGTTCCTGAGAAATCAAATTTTAAATATCTGACTTTTTTGAGATTGAATTTCTCAAAATTTCTCTTATCTCTCTGATTTTGCACAAATATTGTACTCTTTTATGTAAAACTACATTCTTTAAAATGATGCAAAAAATTTATATCTCACAATTCATAACCTTTTTGATACAATAATAAAAAATAATAATTATTTACTATTAATAATTATTTACTTATTTTTCTTGAGTAGATATATCTTTGGATAAATGAATTTTATAATCAAGGGCAAAATTGTTTCAATTCGTTTAAAAAGTTCTCAACATATAGCGAAATACACAAAAAGAAAAATTAACATCAAGAGGACATTAATTAACCAACAAGGAAAATTTGAGGGAAATCGGACGAATGCTAAAGTTTTGTCCCGTCAATCAATGCTAAAATTTTGTTATTTGCCATGTAAAATTACGTCTTTTAAAATGATGTGAAACATCATTCCTTACAATTCAAAATTTTTCACCTATTAAATAAAAAAAATAACAAATATTTAATAAATATCTGTGGAAAAATGAATTTTAAAATTGCGTGTAGAAAAAATTTCAATTTGCTTAAAAAATTCGAGATAGGGCAAAAAAAGCAAAATTAACATTGAAAGGTCGAAATTTTGGATTGCTTTCCTGACCGAACTATTAGGACTAGATTGAGGCTGCGCTCTATATTTTGGGGGCATGAAATCGTAATCCATAGAAAAAAAGGTCTGCTCATTCAAAATTACGTTTTCGTGTCTGATTTTGCAACTTAAATTACTGTCAGCAATAATTAATTAGCATATTTAAGGTCAAATCCTCAAACTATTAAAACTGAATTCTAGAATGTGAAGATTTGATCCTTAGATTGAAAGCCGTTCAGGGTGGTCCATTTTTTTTTACGTATTGTAAATTCAAACTTATTAGGACTAAACAAACAAACTGAACCATACATTAGTCATTAAAAAATTTTCTATCACCATATTTTCGCATATCTCCTTAAACACTTCACAAACCAGGATTGACAAAAATCCTGTTTTTTTATTTAAAAAAAAGTTCAATACTCTCATGAATTTATGAAGACACGGACCAGACTTGTCACTCTTCTACCAAAAGAAGCATTAATTAATTTAGATTAGGAAACAAAATATTAATTACTTAAACTTATTTTACAAAACATTTTTTTTTTGTTATTTATATACATACAAACTACATGCTCAATAAGTTTTAAAAGCATTTTTATTTAAATAAACACAAAACTAAATTAGTATTAATGAATAACGTTTATTATACAAATTATTTTACATACAGCTAATGGAAAGATATAACTTATAAGTTTCAAGTCACTTTAATCCCAATAAAACATGAAAAACCCAGAAAAGGTTGAGATTGAGTTGGATTTTCCTGGAAAAACCCAGGTTTTTTGCAACCCTGTACATTACTCTTACTCTTTACTCTTTCATTATTTCCCTGGGTGAAATATTTAATACCAATGAGATCAGATTTTTAAAGAAAATCGAAACCCTAAGAAAATATTAATATTATATCCTTAAAAAAAAAAAAAAAAGTGGCTTGAATCAATCAGTGGTTGAAAAAAAAAGTTGATTGAAATCAGTAATGATTTGTGAAGAAAAAAAAAATCAAGCGATTTAAATCATGATTTATAGCCAACCCTGTTGTTAACTCCTTGGAGTTCATGAATTACTGGTTGGGGAACAACACATTAATAATAGAAAGAATATAATAATAAATATTTCTTTTATTTACACAGTATAAGTTATTTTTTGTAATATGTAAATTATAAAATATTTACTGTTTTCTGAAGCTTCAATCAGCCCATCACACCTAAGTAGCTGATAATCTTCATTTTTCCTGGCAGTTGTTGAGAAACCACCAACTACCTATAAAAATCAATAAAAAGATCAAATCTTTAAAAAATATAATAATAATAATTATAAAACTTACTATACCATGCAAAAATACACTGGAAAGTTTGTTTCTCTATTGATGCTTATAAAATTTCATCGTTAGGTAGAAAGAAGTGAAATACAAATAAAGAGAGTGGTTGGAAAATATGTGTTCTAAAATAATTTATAATCCTATAATCTTTAAGCTAAAGGGAAATCAAAAAAAAAAAAAGAAAGAAAAGAAGAAAATGTATGACGTGTATATTAAATAAAGCTAAATTTACAAAAATACAATCTAATTATAAAAGAGTTGCAGACAAATAAAAACCGTAATTAGACTTCAAGAAAAATAATGGGACCAAAATGAATTCATAATCAAGAGTTACCTCATTTTCATCAAAATTAAAACCAATCTGTGTTTGATCCCAATCATTGGCATCCAAAAACTTTTTGTCATTTCTATCCATCACTTAACACATTTTTCAGACATCAAAACATCTAAATAAAATACAAATAAAGATTAAAAGATCTTTAAACATTTTAACAAAATAAAAATTGAAAATAGCTTAGCACAAATAGAACAGTACTGTGACATTTTAAATCCATTTTTGGAAGTTGGACTTATATCTTTTCATTAAGCTACTTACAATCTAAACAAACATATGCTTTAAAAAAAATCTGATTTAGTTGCTTTAATTGAGGTTAGAAAAAGGAGTTTTAAGCTTTCACAAATCCTCATAAATTATTTTATAACCTTAAAATTGTTTTTTGACCTGTCAACTTTCTCCTCTAGAAAATAGATATCCCAAAGTTATCAATATAGAAAACAAGTTTTTAGATTTTAACTTTAAATCAGGATTTCAGAAAACCAAAACATAAGTGAAGAATGATTACTAAGTCTTGGCAACTTCTGGGCAGCAGCATGTCTGAAACTAAAAAAAAACATCAGAACGGAACCAACTTGTAGCCACCCAAGCGCAAAGCTCAATTTTTTCCTTTTAATGTGTAAATTTGAAATTTATTTGGCCTCTCTATGAATGTAGTGACGTGTCAGATCACAATACGAAAATATCGTAAAATAATGCAAGAATATTAAAGAAACAATTTTAATAACTAAATAAATTAAAATATATTTTGTTCTGCGACAGACTCTTAAAGAACTAAAATTCTCAGCTAAAAATTTAAGTCAAAGTATAACTTTTTAATTTAATTTGAAACAGATTCAAACTTAACTACATTGAACTAGGATAAGATTTCCATATCAGTACCTACGTCAAACTAATAGCCATGTTAAGGCAACTTCTGGGCCATGGTCAGAGAGAAACTCCCACTCAAATGATCTGGGAGACAGTTGTTTGCACCAGGGTTGGCAGGTTTTTGACATGTGACAGTTTTTGACAGTTTAAACCATGGTTTAAACCGTCACGTCAAAAACCTCACTGTCAAAAATGTCGAAAATGTCAAAAACCTATATTCATATGTGAAATTTAATTAATACAAAAAATTTATATATTTTTTATAAAGGATAGTGTTTCTAAATATGTTCTAGAAAAAATAAATTTAAAATTTTGAAGAAACACTTATATTTTGAATAGTAACCAAAATCTTGTACTTTTGAAAGCTCACATCTTTTGTAATATTATGTATTCATTTTCATGTGTTATTGAAAATCTGCAGTGATATTATTAAGAAATTTATTTATAACCAAATTTAGTGTATAGTATAGATTATACTAAAAATTAGACATTTTTAAAGATAAACATTAGCAGTTTTG